ATTTAAAATGTCCAAAATAAAAGATAGTAATTCATAATGAAAAGAAAAATGTCCGTAGTAAGTTTGAAACAAAATTAATATTAAATAGATTTAAGTATATACATGAGATTATAATACAATGGAATTAATTTAGAATTTCAATTGTGTCAATGTCAAAAATAGAGAATGAAATTATAATGTAAGCTTTCAGGAAGAATCAATGTTTCAATCACCTCACCAAACATATTACCTTTTGATGATCGAGCAAATAGGTTGTTAATTTTTTTTTTTTGAAAGTATATATTGAGGTGAAGTTTCTCTACGGGGGTGGCAGATCATTCCAGCACTTGGTTGCCGGAAATGCGATGATAATAATACGCAAGTAAGATAATAATACAGGTCGAACAACCCTGCTGCGACGTAGAAAAAAATAATTTATCGTACAGGTAGGTATCTGGATCGGCGATATCCAATAACTATACTTTATACACTTTGGCTTACGACGGTCCAGCAACTGGATAGGGTATCTTTTCTAAAGTCATTATCACAAAATTATTTTGTTGCCAAGATCAAATAATCATTATAAGTTGTATCATAGTTTGTATTATACATAAAAATCTTTCCTTTGAATCACCCTATCAATTAAATAAATCGCATCAAGTTATTTTTATTGTGTAGTTTTAAAGATCTAAGCATACATAGGGACAGACTTTCTTTTGTAATATGTACTAGCTTTTTCCCGCGACTTCGCCCTTGTGGTCTAGTTTTAAGTCCAGAAATTAGAAAATTCTATAAAAAATTTCATCCCCTAATTCAGGAATTTCGTATAATCCCGTCTAAATGAGCACCCACGTCCTAAAAAAAACCCGCTAGCAACATTTTAAACTGCTAGAACTTGTAGTAAAGTCGAAGCGTTTGGGGTTGTAGATGGGGTCAGAAGCACCCCCTAGGCTTCAGGTAAGAGCAGAAAAACAAAATAATGTTTCAACAAACTTTATTTTATCACTCAGGGGGTAGGTTCAGATTCGCTCGCTATGATTCTGGTTCTTGAATTAAAAGGACTTAGCTTTATAGTTAAATTAGAGGATTAAGTGTTGAGTTCGCGGGGTCAGCGTCACGGGCCGGGCAGAGGCTGGCAAGTATGTAGACCCGTCGTCAGCTCCGGTCAGCAGCACTGAAGATCCACGAAGCCTCAGGCACAACGCAGAGCAGCGTAGGTAAGGAGGACTCGGGTAGAAGAAGAATCCTGTTAACATAGAATAGAAGTTCAATAAGTGCGGCTACCTGTGGCCTGGAACAATTAAGATAGCTGCAGTTGCTATAGCTTCCATAAAATATCCCCGATAAAAATATATATATATAAAAATGCGTGTTTCAAATGATATTAAAAATCATTTAGAATGAAGTTAAAATAAAAGATGCTTTGATAATAATATGTAAGATAAACAAAAATACAAATATTATTACATTAAAATACACGGGAATGGAACCCGTAGTTAAAGTAAAATTAAAGCACTAAGTGTAAACCATTTACGAGCATCTTAATTTCAAGGTTATCAAATATTACGAGTATTTAAAGCACATCCCGGGAATCGAACCTGAGATGGAAATAAAATTACGAATTGAAACTAACATAACTAGCTTTCGGACAATGTATAGATTATATTTAATTTTTAGCAGACAAAATTAAATATGAAATCTGTAAGGTAGAAAAATAATAAAATGTTAATATTGCGTAGTCTCAGACCTCCGCTTTGTTTCAATATATTGTTTTATAACCGAAATAGATTCTGAATTTAAAGTAACTTATTAAAGGAATTAGAACACTCACCCGATTTGGGGTTATTTAGCACAAACTTACAAATTTTCAAAATCACTTAAAAAATGTAATGAGTTCTTGCGAAACAGCAAGAATTTCTATACGGGGAATTATAAAACGATCCACTAAAAAAGAACTTAGCGACTGATGATGGCATACTGTTTTAATAACTTGAGTGTTATGAATTTGAGTAAGCGGAAAATTAACTTAACCAACGACGAATATTGATTAATGATCAATTTCAAAACGAGCTTACAAAGAGTGGGTTATGTTTAATCCATTTTAGATATTACAATTCTGTCCATGCGACTACATTACTAAGTGAGCGACTAGATATATAGAGAGAGCAACTATAATATCAAGATAGACTAGATTTTTTCCAACTGAAGCTTTTTCCAACGAACTACTAAAAAGTTCACTTTAAGCAAAGTTTTGTCTGCTGCATTATTAATGCATTGGTTACTGTTGGTTTTTATTTTGATATGATTTCTTAATGAAATAGCATCTAATCCTACCAAAAAAGTATATTTAATTTGCAACGAGCTTTCGAAAGATTTAAACTGCACTTATTATAATCATTTTTATATGAGCTCATAATACTATGTTCATTGTTGTATTTTTCAAAATTATTTTTGTATTTGAAACACTTTATATAAGATAATATGCCGCGCAGTATAAAAAAAAAATAATTGCCGAATATTGATAACAATGCAGGACGTAACGTTGGCGCTCAAACAAATATTAGGTCGTTCAAATATTAAGAAGCATCTCATTGTGTATTTTAAGTAACTCAAATTAATGTTTGTAAGTTGCTGTTCTGTTGATTTCTCATCTTCCGCAGTCAGTCGCTCACTTAGTAAAACTATGACATAAATTAATTATATTTGACACTTAAAACTTTAATTTACAATCACTCGTTTTAATACTACCCTTTATATACTATTTCCCCACTATGAGCCGCGCTGCGCTCCCATGTCTGCCTACCTCCATAGTACAATTGTTAACATTGTACCTACAATTATTTTTAATGATATTTTTCTTTAAATTAATTTGTATTAAAAAGTAAAAAGGAATTTAGTAAACTGTTACAAAGTTTCATACAAACTTCCATCCCCTAGTTTAGACCCTTCGGGGTGGAATTTTCAAAAACCCTCTCTTACTGCTCCTTAACACTCCCTAATGAATCTTCGTTCTAAATTTCAACTTTCTACGCTCTGTAGTTTCTAGTGTACATTGTATGTCAGACAGTCAGTCACTTAGTAACGCAAGAATTTTATATATATGTATCTATCTAGTAATGACATTTTTGTGAATGTCCCATTAGATATGTTGAGTTTCTTGCTCGCTCTTCTTGTAGGTCAAAAGACGTCATAAATTTATTCCCATAAATCGTTGGACGATTCAACATACTTTAAAGTCTATTTAAACGAAGAGACTCTTTTGACTTTGACTTTAATTAGCGCGACGTTCTTTGCCTGCAAGACCTGTGGGCGTCCAGTTTGCAGCCTCACGTATTCATGTGAAGCCAACACTAGATCATTTTCTATTAATGTCAGTTCACTCAGTGGTAAGTGTTGGAATAAAGAGTTTGTAATCAATGAACACCTGCAACTTGGATAAAAACGTGATCCCTAGACCTATACATATAATACATTGTGACAAGATACCTTGTGATACAAATACTTGTTATGTATGTGTTCGTTTGTGTATGTTGCAGGCATATAGTAAAAACAAAGATTTATCAAAATCCCTGAGTCCTAAGGAATTACTATCAAATGACTAGATTTATCAAAAAAATAGTGAAATATTATTGGTTAATTTAAGTTATTTATTACTTTATAAGATTACCAATGATGTCAGCAGGGCCGACCCGTCCGTATAGGCACACTAGGCATCTGTCTAGGGCGCTAGTACTTCGTGGGGCGGCATAGCAAACACATTGTTTGCTCTAATAATTTGGAACTTAAAAATACAGTAAGTACCTAAAAATACTTTTGTTTCAAAACTACGACATTTTCAGATCCAGAGTTCCTTTTGCCATGCCATTGGCAAAATTATACTCTTTACTGAGTGTACCAGGTATACATTAGTATTTTATTTTATTGTGATTTTATTGGGAGTTCCAATGTTTTGCCTAAAGCGCCAAGTTGCAGTTTGCCTGGTACTTACATTGAGACGACACCATATGATGTCATAGGAATAGGTACAAAAATTAGTTAAATCTATTTATATCATTTATTTGTTTAATCCGAGCTCTAAGGAAATGTTAAAATCGAGTTATTTCAACATCTTTAGTGATTTGCTCATATTCCTTTAGGAATTCGATTAAAACTTAGTTTTCATCATGTACACGCGACATATTATGCTATTATATGTGTGTGTGTGTACCGCAGACGAAAGAGAAATAGTATGTAGGTATGTTAGTACCTGCGCATACGCAGGCAGCTCGCGGTGTGTCGCAGCTCCGTCACAGGTGCGCATTGTGTGAGACTAGCAGATTTACTTAGTTACCTACTATTTATGAGTCAATAAACAAGCATGCTTATTTATAAAAACAGTCTAGTTTGTATGATGATTTGTCTTTATTGATATTGAGGTTTTAATACATTACAGAATATAATAAGTAGGTATCTATCTATTTAATAAATAATTAAAATGGTTAGTACAATGTAAGTGTATATGTAGATATATCAAACTGACAAGATTTGGTCATTTAAAACTCATAATTATATTATTGTTGCATATATAAAAACATGGATTTATTAAACACTAAGCAGAATAAAGAGGATTCGATAATTATACTAAAAATAATTAGTCGTAAATATAATTATTTATAAGAACCATGTCAACAAATCTATCTTTGTAAATATTTAATTATTAATTAAACTTAATTGACCAGTAAAGAAATGGTACTAAAGACGGACTTGACGCTAATGCCATTCCCTTCCAGTCAACCTTTACGAAAAACAATAAACGCGATGGCGGTAGGAAGGCTTTAATTTTTTTTTTTTTATCAAATAGAATATTATACGATTATTGTACACAGAATAATATCCTATAATACAGTGAGTGAGACCTGCTAAAGTTACGCGCATTGTCACTATCTATCCAAACACGTTCTACACGCGTTCTCTGCCCCACAAATCGTCGAGGCTTCACAACACAGAACAATAATACTCTACGAGCTTCACAATCGCAAGGTAACCGTGCGCCTGACACCACGTCACTGTGAGCCGCGTTGCCGTAACCGGCGCACGCCTCTACTCTGCGATAGATAAGAAACCGAAAATTTTCAAAAAAGGAATGTGACCGGTGTTAATTCCGAAACGTATCATGTGCCATAAATAGTGATGTTACAGTGTTGATTGTTGAATTTTTCTTTAGAAAGAGAATATATAAATATGGTTGTACCGATTTTGTTTTTTGTGACGGTTATGGTGCCAAGTGTTTTCGGCCAAGATGTGGCGGATTGTTATGGTGCGGGGAGCGTTGCGGGTGCAGCGATAGGTGCATTCATAGCCGCCCTCCTTTTAGTCGCCGCCGCTTACTACCTGAGGAAGTTGTATTGGAAATCACGTAAAGGTATGTGATGTTAGCATCCCTCTTTAGTGCTGTCTCTCTCGCACGTCGGTGGGCATTTTTCGAATCGTTGACCCGTCATTCGAGTGTCGGGTCGCCAAATATGTTAATTTGAATATTGATTCGTTCATCGATCGTCAACGTTAGATATTTCAAAGTTGTTTTGCCACTCCGTATCATAAATAATTCATTAAAATTATTGTACAATGCTTACTTGCTAGTAGAATATCGATATGATTAAGAATGGAATAGATATTACCTGTTTGAATGAGTTCTCTCTTTTTCATTTATGCTTAACACTTCGCATAGGTACTTAAGTTATGTAAATGTTATTACTTTAACCATACTTGAAAAGACGTAAGTGATGTCACAGATCCCACCTGTACAAAGATGGGATACGTCTCATTCATTATTACCTATTGTCTTTGTTTAAAATAGTTCTACTTTTGTTGCTAATGCAAAAATTTGACCAAATAAAGATTAAAAAGCAGAATGGTCCTTCGAGCAGTTTAATTCTACATTCGATAAAAGGTTTCGATTCGATTTTCCTGATTGAATAATCTATAGTTAGTATAAAATAAAGTATCATTCGGCTATCTATTCACCGAGATCTTTTAAACTACATAACGGATTTAGATACAGTTCTCATTAATACACAGAGTAATTTAAGAGAATGATTTAATATATATAATACACGACTACGCGAGCGAAGCCGCTGGCGGGAACCTAATTAGATCCCAAATAAAGTTTTAAAAGCAATTGTACTATGGAAATCTGATACACTCAGACCCGAGACAATAGAGAAAAGTTAATTTTGTACATATCCGACCGGGCATCGAACCTTGGACCTCGAAGATGACGACAATTCGAAGTCGGTCTATTCATTTTTTTATAGTGTAGGCGAAAGAAAGGGTCAGAAACTGGAAAGTATCATTTATAAACATTTAAGAAAATGTGTAATTACATGATACTAATTTAAAGGACAAGTAAAATAAACACTAACGACTAAAAAAAAACCTGCGCTTTAGTTACTGTATTTTAAATTTTATCATAAACATGACTAGGATACACAGTTAACCTAGTTACTTTTGGTGTCGAACTTTTGAAGAGCTCTCCTTTTATCTAAGGAGCGAATGTATAAAGACATTCACAAAAAATCAGAATGCAAACCAAATGACTCAGAAAAATTGTATATAATCCTGTACACAATTCGTAAAAAAATAGTAAAAATCATATCAGTTTTCAAGCGTCGGGCTACTAAATGTCAAATAGTCGTCCTTGCATCCGCTTGACAGATTTATATGGGGTCTAGCCGAAAATCGGCGTCGGTCTTTTTTTACATTTTAGGAAGTGAAAGAGATCGATATATGCTGATCTAGACACCTTTTTGGCACAACTGTGGGACACGCATTGCTTTATTACCTATATGTAATTATTATTACTATCTTTTTAAGTTTTCTCTCATATTTAATATTAATTGTTTGATTTGAAATAATTTCCCTAATCACACTTACATCCAGTTGCACTAAAGTCCATTACAATTGTCATTAGTTCGACATTACCGATACATCAAAATTAGAACATCCATTACAGCTTAGTGGTCATAAATATTTTATGGACGATTGACTGTAAACATTCCAATGGCTCTTAAAAATGAAATTTACAAACAAAATTAACATTGAAATTTTGAATCTTGATCAAGTGCTAACATCAATCTGTGTAATCAGTTATCACTTATCAATGTAATACAACTCTATCTTATCAAATTCTTGGATACGTCATTATTATTGAAATATAAACGCTAGTATTAGTGCAGCCAGTGTACCGATATTGTTATCGATACGAACGTAGTACTTACTGATTAGATCAGTGGCATATTTTGAATTTCAGTGGGCTAATTGTTTAATTTTAAGACCTACCACTAGCCTTTCGACGGTATAGCGATTATGATAGCGAATTATGGAATGACGTTACTTTGAAAGTAGCCATCGATGATTTAAATGATCAAGAAATATTAAAAGTATTGTTTGATTCTAACGCTCGCCTGGGCCAATTCCAATTAACATCGTTCATTCAATATCTTTCAAAAAAAGTTCGCGATGACAATGGCGTGGGAGAGCCATGCTTCGGCATGAATGGGCCGGCTTGACCGGAGTGATACCACGGCCTCACAGAAAACCGACGTGAAGCAACGCTTGCGTTGTGTTTCGTCGTATGAGTGAGGGTACCGGAGGCCCAAACCCTCCCTATTCCCTTCCCTCTACCCCTCAACCCTTCCCTCCAAGGCCAGCAGCGCGCTTGTAGCCCCTCTGGTGTTGCAGGTGTCCATGGGCGACGGTAATCACTTACCATCAGGTGATCCGGCTGCTCGTCTGCCCCCTATCCCATAAAAAAAAAATGGCTTGTCAAATTCTTGTAGAGTGAAGTTCGTAAATATCTTTAAAATGTCAAATCGAAAGGGATTAAAATATTTTATTAATTAGAACATTAGGCCTCTGCTCCCCGGGTTTCTGCCGCTTTGTAAATTAAAAGTAAAAACACAAATGAGATTATAAGCAAAATAAAGATAATCATTGTCGTTAGATAATTAAATAAAAGCGTAAAAAGACCACAAGAAGAAATGTTCGATTTTCTTTTGCTTGCTTTGGATCCAAGAGTACATGAATACGTTACTGGTTAACTCGTTGCAGCATTATACATTAATATCGTTCCAAGTGAAATTTAAGTCTATGTTAAAGTTTTTTAGTTAAGATATACTCACTTATTTCATTAATTATATAATATAACCACTACTGTTTTCCTGTTAATGATGTAGCTTCCTGTAAGCAAAAGAAATTTTTTAAATTCCGTCCAATAGTTACGGAATCTATTCGACACAACAAACAAATAAATATTTGTAAAATAAATCTCTTTATAGAATTAGTATAGAAAGATGGGCATAATTTTCCAACTTTTCGAATATGCAGTATACAACGATTCCTATGTCGATAAAATTTATCGATAACTCGCTGCACAGACTTATCCGTGATGAAACTGATACGAATATCGATTTCCATTTACCTATTTGTCTGGTTATATATCCAATTTATTATGAATGATGAAAAACTTTTTGTTTTACCACAAATGAAATGTAGGAATAAGTGGACGTTACCAACCTTTAAAAAACAAACTGATTTGTCATACCTATATATCGCACACCTAGATCTAAACTGAGACAACTCAAAAATTTGAGCGAGTTTTGACTTAGTATAATATTCAAATACTCGGTGATCATACGCATCTATCCAACATAACAGATTCAATAAAGGTTCGGGGATGAGCCGCTAGATAACTTAAGCTTTCTTTTGTTGAATCAACAGTGGTCGCGCTTCTGCTATGTAAACAAATGTATTGTCAAACCTCCAAATTAGTTTTTTGAGTTGTCTTAGTTGAGATCTAGGTGTGCGATATATGGAAAAGATTTTTCAAATAAATGCATGAGAAAATAATTCAATTTGAAAACACTGAACTGGTTTATAAAGAATGGGATTATTAAATTTTCAATACTTCACTTATAATGAGCTTCGAGCATAACGTAGCGTATAATAAAGAAAGATAATGACGCATAAAAAGTTAGATATTAAGTGACCAAATTAGTTATGGTAATAATAATTTAAGTGAAACTGCTGTCTGGGCATCGTTCGGGCAATGGAAAATATCATAGATATTTCTTGTAACAAACGTTAGACCAGTTTTTTACCGAGATTAGAACTTGTTTTCATTCGATTTCGTTTTTTTACGCTCCTATCTCATAATCACGTTGTTGGGTGTTTTTTTTAAAGTTGTTAATAAAATGTGTTACTAGAGGAATGAAACCAAATATAGAATATAATACCTCGTATGGAATACTGGAGGTTACTTTCTAAAATATTGTTTTTAGAAATTTTAATATACTTTGAAATAAGCCAAGCGGTTCCGTGAATAGATCGCGATTTTCTTAAGAATATTTTGAGGAATTCCGTATTAGGGATTTTATTCCATTTGCATTGTATGTTCGGTTCTTTAAATAAAATTGTCCCTTATCTCGTCTGTTTGGTAAATTAAAAATTTAGCAAATGAATTTTCACAAGTTTGATAGAAGAAGTAATTCATAGGATATATTCATTAAAGGATATATTCATTAAAGGATATATTCATTAAAGTTTTGTGTAAAGTTGTAGATGATATTTCATGGCCTAAATTTAGTTTATATTATTTTCTTTCATTTACGATAAGACTTACATATACTCGTACATAGTATTTTCTATTGAAATTATTTTGTAAATTCGTGTCTTCTTATTTTTAATTACAGAATATGTAGATTTTTTTTTATAAAACCAGTTAGAAATTGGTTATATGGGTGAACGTGTCTTCTTATGCAGTTTACAGAAATACAATTCTCATATTCCCATGAATACTAAAAGGTTATTGATTTAAACAGATATAGTTGAATAGTCCGTAGCAGATTATTAAAAATAGAACTTCAAAATAAAGTGCAAAACAATTATGTGAGCAAATATTTTTCTGAAGATTCCATATTCAATATCACCACACTTAAAATATTTCTGTTGCAAAACAAACCTTAAATGCAAGACATTAACGGATAGTATAAGCAAAACAATAAAAAAAAGACACTTCAAGTATAACCTTCAAGAAAATTATCGCTTTATGAATACATAATAAGCAAACAAAATATGTCGACAGTCTGGCTAGGAGAGGCACGTTAGATACAATCTCTTAGAATTGCGAAATAGTTTTTTTTTCATACTTTTAAAATAAAATACACCAAAAATACTTATGTTCTTTTTAACGTTTAGCTATGAAGAGTTGTCTAATATGAAGGGACCTTCTTCTTCTTTTATAAATGACTTATCAGCGCATTTCTCACAATTCTACCAATGTCAAGTGAATAAATTAACTTCTACACATAAAATGAAAATGTATGGCGATGATCTCGATATGAAGGGATGAAAGCACAAAAAATG